GCACCCACACCCAGGGGCCTGCCCCCACCAGGGGGCACCCCACCTCTGAAACACCCACACTTTGCTCTCTGGCCTTATTCCACCTGAAGCTGGCCTTGCACATCATGGAGCCACGCAGGGCTTTGGCACCTTCAATTCTCCCATCTGTTTGTCCCTCCTATTTTCACTTCCTGTCTGGCCTACAGAGATTTCGGCGGAAAGACAGTCCCCCTTGTTGACTAAGGGCAGCCCCTTGAGCTGTGCTCTGGATCCATTCTCCTCATTCTCCTTTCCCCACCTCCCTCTCTGTTTCTTTTTCTTGAACCCAGAAGGTGGAAGTTGCAGTGAGCTGAGATCATACCACTGCACTCCAGCCTGGGCGACAGAGTGAGGCTCTGTCTCAAAATAAATAAATAAATAAATAAATAAAACAAAAAAAAAACACCCAACCAAACAAAAAAACTCATTCCATCAAAGTCTGCACTTCCCCCGGAAGTTACCAAGTTCACATTTTCCCTCTCCTTATAAACTTCCACAGACTCTGCTGTGGGGTTTGAGTCTTCACCATTCTCTCTTTGTACAGAAGCTTCATTAGGTTAAAGGGAAGGAGACATTAACTCCTGATGGCAGAAGATGGTGGAAAGATGTCAGAATATCTATTCCAGCTGCAATTTGCTTCTCCCCCTTTTGCTGTGCCTGAAGACCTAAAATATATTAGGGGTAGGTCTTGTGCCAGAGGTAATTCTTTCCAAATTACAGGAGATTCATAGCCTCAAGTCACCTAACTTTGATCTTACTATGCAATCAGGCCATCTGTCTTTCCTCTGACCTCGGTTTAGCTTGCAAAGCTCTCCTTCTACCAGTCCCTTAGAGAAAGCATCATAGTTGTATGGAAGGTGGGCACATCTGGTCCCTAGAGGAGCACATCTTGGGTTCCAATTGTCTCTGCTGCTCTGTGTTCCTCACTTCCATGGAATTTCAGTAAACATTGGTGAAGAGAGAAGCCCATGGGCAGCAGCAGGGCCCTGAGTTCAGAGACTCAGGCCACTCGCTGAACCTGGGGATCTGGGTATTCTGCCCTGGAAAGTCTGTGTGGAAACACTTGCCTGGCCTGGCGTAGGTGGCTGTGGAGGGATGAAAGCAGGGTGCCCATGGAGAGCATTGGTGCTCATACTTGGGTGTGCATCAGAAACCCTGGAGCTTGTTCAAACACATGGCACAGGACCCTGCCCTGGGGTTTTTGATTCAGTAGGACTGGAGTAGGACCTGAGATTCTCCATTTCTTTTCTTTTTCCTTTACTTTTCTTCTTTCTTTCTTCCTTCCTTCCTTCCTTCCTTCCTTTCTTTCTCTCTTTCTCTCTTTCTCTCTTTCTCCCTTCCTTCCTTCCTTCCTTCCTTCCTTCCTTCCTTCCTTCCTTCCTTCCTCCTTCTTTTTCTTTTTCTTTTTTTTTTTTAGGGTCTGACTCTGTTGCCTAGGCTGGAGTACAGTGGCATGATCTTGGCTTACTGCAACCTCTGCCTCCTGGGTTCTAGTGATTTTTGTGCTTCAGGCTCCTGAGTAGCTGGGACTACAGGCGTGCATCACAACACCAGCTAATTTTTTTTTTTTTTTTAAGTAGACATGGGGTTTTGCCATGTTGGCCAGGCTGGTCTCGAACTCCTGCCTCAAGCGATCCACCTACCTCTGCCTCCCAAAGTGCTAGGATTACAGGCATGAGCCACTGCACCCAGCCTCTGCATTCCTTTCTAACAAGTCCTCAGGTGTAGCTGCTGCTGCTGGCCCAGTGACCATGCTTTCAGAACCTCTGTTTTAGAGGAAAGCACCTTGTCCTGCCCCCACTCAATGCATACAGTAGGCTCATACACAAGAGGGCCCACTCCAGCCTGAGCTAGAGGGATGGTGTGGCTTACTGGCAATGGCAAGTCCCTTGATGCTGGCTTGCTTCTGTGCCTGGACTTCCTTGGCTCATTTTCTAACTTATTCTTGGTCATTGTTGCTCTGGCTGAAGAGCAGAAAAAGGAGTTAATGGTGTGCAAGGCCTAGGTAAGTGGCAGCGACGGCCATCAGAAGGGCGATCTCCCTGCACCACCCTCTCCTCCCTCAGCATCAGACATTCCTTTCATGCTTGTTCTATTTTCTCTACGCCCCATTCATGTATGTTTTAGAGGACACAAAGCCACACTTCTGCAAAGGCCTAAAAATGCTATGAATTACATCCAGAATACTTTTTCAGTTTCCTCTATGCTCCCTGAGCTCCCCCAAGCACCCACATTCCGGACTGAGAGTCAGAAGGACTTTCCACGTGGGGAAGATGCCAGCCCTGGAGAGGAAACGGAATAAACACATTTGCTGATGTAGGAGCAGGAGGACAGCCTCCAAACTGAGGTCAGCATCGCTCCCCAGGGGCACAGCCTCAGAGCCACCCTGGCTCCTTCCTCCTTGCCTGTCGTCTGCCCAGGGACTAAATAGATGGCTTTTACCTTGAGCTTCTTGCCAAATGTCTGCCCTGTTTTCCATAGTCGGCTAGGGCTGATCATATCTGCACAGGAAGAAGGGGGCTCATTCTCAGAGGGCTGTAGACGTATATATGCATGACTGTGTGAAGTGGTGGAAGAAGGGGTTGCGTTTCTGTGAACAAAGCCTAAATTATATATGCATATACATTATGCTGTAATAAATGGTCCTTACTTTTCTACAAGACCCAGATCAGATTTAATCATTCAAAACAGCTACACTTTAATAAAGTCACTGGTGCAGGGCCTGGGTCACAGCCTGGACCTCCAAAGGTGCTCATGAATATTTGTTGAATGAATGAATGTGTTCATCTCAGGATTATCTATCCTGATTTGAGAGGATCTGATATGATCCTGGCTACTCTCATTTAAACTGAGTTCCTGTTTCTTTTAAGGTTCTCAAATGAGGCATTAAACAAACCATCCTTCATCCTGCAGCTGGCTGCCCGGGGACAATGGAGTGGTCACTCGGCAATACAGAAATTTCAAAATTCCGCAAGCATGGGCTTCCTGCCCGTTTGGAACCCAATCAGCCCTCCACCCCATTGTTCCTGATATGGTCTGGCTCCATTTCCCCAACCAAATCTTATCTTGAATTGTAACCCCCACGTGTCAGGGGAGGGACCTCACTGGAGGTGATTAAATCATGGAGGCGGTCCCCTCATGCTGTCCTTGTGACCGTGAGTGAGTTCTCATGAGATAGGTTGGTTTTTATAAGGGGCTTTTCTCCCTTTGCTCAGCTCTCATTCTCTTTCCTGCAGCCCTGTGAAGAGGTACCTTCCGCCATGTTTTAAGTTTCCTGAGGCCTCCCCAGCCATGTGGAACTGTGAGTCCATTAAACCTCCTTTCTTTATAAATTACCCAGTCTCAGGCATTTCTTCATAGCAGTGTGAGAACGGACTAATACACTCCCAGTCCTACCCCACCTTCTGATGGCTCCCCAATGGGATGCAAGCATCCAGGGCTACCTGCCCTTCTCTGGATGTTTATGTGTCCAGGAATCTGCAAGGGGAGGGCTGTCCTGTAGTGACTGTGAAGGCATCCCTACCCTTGTAGATTCCTGAGTCTAGGGTCCTCTGCCAGTCCCCAAGCCTCAGAAGATTTGGGGCTTGAAAGACAACTAAAGAAGGGCCAAGGATGGAGGCCAGGTCAAGAAAGAGCAGATGAAAGATATTTTTAAAAGATTGATTTGAGCACCAATATGTAAAAACCAATCTGCCTTGTCCAGGGCCAAGAGTTGAAAATATGCACTTCCAGCTATGCTTCTTTTCGTTCCTGGTTCGCCTTGTTTATTGAGCTCTCTATGCCAGATCCAAGGGGATGCCACAGAAGTTTAGGGATAGGTAATTTCTTTAAGGAAGTCACCATCTCCCTGGGGAGGTAAAGCCATGTTACTTAAAATGGTTAATTAATATGATGATGTGGCATAGGCTGAACAAACCACTCTGCAATATACCCTGATATAATAAATGATTATTGTTGATATTAATGTCACATTTTTCTAGTTTACATTAAAATAAATCCATAACCATTCACAAAAATACTACAGTTTGTTTGTGTATGTAAAACCATGTCAATTACCCTCCCCTGTCCCCATGGGATGTACTGTTTCTTTGTGAGATGTTGCCAGTAGAAGGATTCCCATGTGTTGCTTCAGCAGATGAGTATTGTCTCCCAGGTCCAGCCAGGCGGAGCATAGTGAGGGGCACAACTCATGCTAGATGGAGTTGGGCTGTGCTGCCTGTCTGGATTACATGGCCCAAAGGCAGAGTCCCAGGCTTCCCTCTCTCTCTCTCTTTTTTTTTTTCTCTTGAGACGAAGTCTCGCTCTGTTGCCCAGGCTGGAGTGTAGTGGCATAATCTCTGCTCACTGCAGCCTCTGCCTCCTGAGTAACTGGGACTACAGGCACATGCCACCATGCCCAGCTAATGTTTTGTATTTTTAGTGAGAAGTGGAGTTTCACAATGTTGGTCAGGCTGGTCTTAAACTCTTGATCTCAAATGATCCACCATCTCAGCCTCTCAAAGTGCTGGGATTACATGCATGAACCATTGCGTCTGGCCTCCCTCTCTGAACTCAGACGCCAAAGTCATTTATCAGGGCAGAACCCCAAGGGCAGAGTGGACAGGCAGTCCATTCGTCAAGTCTACCAAAGTTGGGGTCTGCCTGCTGCCCTCCCATTCTGACCCTTTGCCTGCACAAGTAAAAGGCAGTGTGACCCCTTTATTCTCTGCTAGCTCTTTCACCATCTGAGCTAGCTCGTGGCCCAGTTTCCTTGGGGAAACCACTTCAAAAAGAAATGCGAGGCCCCCAGCAGATTTCTCAGTCAACCAGCCAAGGCTGCTGTGGAGGGAAATTGTGGCTGCTGAGCCGCTCCAAGCTGAGGAGTGGGAAGCCCACAGCAGGCTCTCTGAACCAAGGGAAGGAGCTCACATCCATGACCCCCTCCCAGGGCCAACCCAGGTATTGACACATCCCCCAAAAGTACTGTACAGGCAAACAGGACAGAGTGTGCTACAAACATTGTATTATGAAGCAATATCCATCCCAAAGAATTTCACAAGCACGTAAATAAACAAATCAGTCAAAAACCTGACACTTTACAGGATCAATGAACAAGGTTAATCTAAGTTCTCAAATGTTGAACATTTTTCAATAAATATTGATTTTGTTTATATATCTTCAATCCACAAGTATTATTAACAAGTCTTAGAAGGGTTATTGAAGACTAAGAATCAATACATTTTATTTATTATTTAATTGACTGATGTGTATCAAGGTGTCATTAACCTGAATAATGTTATGCAAAAGTCCATCTCTGCCCTTTCAAAGACAGTCACGGTGTCATCCTTGCTTGTGTGCAATGTCAAAAGGTGGATGCTCTCCTCATGCTGTCTTCACTGGGCTTGCCTTCTTCCTTTCCAAAAATGTATTCATGGGCCAAGAAGAGAAAGAAAAACAAGCCACTGTGGAAGTGTGAGCTCAAAGTACCATCCAGCTAGAAACTGTCCTATAAGGCCCTGCAATGACCGCTGGGGGCCTGAGGGCTGGGTATCAGTGGGGGTGACCAGAGGTAATCCCACTCTCTAAAACCCGAGACAGCGAGGTTACTGCCAGAAGAAGCCCTAGTCCACACTCTAATGTAGACCACTCACAAATTCAGCTCTTTGCTATGGGGGTTACAAGTTCCTTGCACAGCCTATGATGTGTGATGGCTCATGCCAGTGGGTGTAGGCACTAGATTAGGACCACCAGGTCAAATGTTGATGCCTAGTTCAGTTTGAATTTTAGATAAACAACCATTTCTTAGCATAAGTATTCCATACTTAGCAAATATTCCATACTTGGGATATACTTACGCTAAAAAATTATTTCCTGTTTATCTGGTATTGTTTACTACATTGAGCTGAGTGCCTTGTATATTTTCACTTGCTAAATCTGGCAACTGTACACCAGGTGGCTTGGGGCCATGGTGGGACACATCCAGGATGCTGGTGACAAGCACCCAGCCTGGCCAGGCCTCCCGAGACAGTTGGGGAAGGGTAGTGCCACTGGTCAGGTGGCCACTTGCGTGACCTCCCAGGTAACAGGCCCATTTAATTCATTCCACGAGTGAGATGTCATCATGCTGGCATTTCATTTCAGACACAGGAAGCATTTCAGTTGGATAAAAGTAAACACCAGCCAAACGTAATGTGAAGATTAAGGTTGGTAAACTGAGTCTAGATGCTTTATATCAAATGTGTGATTGTTTCTTGGTTTGAGGCCACAGATGTCAAACATTTAATAGAAGGACTTAAAAGAGAGAGAATTTTTACCATTAACTTGATTTCTCCTGTGAATTGGGAAAGACTGTCATTATTTTATCTGAAATGCAGAACATACTCATTCTAACTGGAAGAATGTCAAGAACCCACCAGGACACATCTTGTTAACACAGGCTGGAAACGCAGACGGTGGCCCGGGAAGGTGACCTGGGGGAGCCAGCAGGGCAAGCTTCCGGCAGAACTGAACAGTTGACGAGGGCCATGAGACGGGGCAATCAGCGGAGCAGGGGAGGGCCCAAGGACGCACAGCACCTATAAGAGGTGAGAGAGCGTGAGAGGGCATGTGTGTGTGTGAGCATGTGCGAGAATGTGAGTGTGTGTGGGTGTGTGAGAGAGAACAAGAGAGCGTGTGTGTGAGCGTGTAAGTGAGCGTGTGTGTTTGAGAGCGTGTGTGTGAGAGACAGAGACAATGAGAGTATGAGCATGTGAGTGAGTGTGAGTGTGAGCGTGTGTTTGAGAGTGTGAGTGTGTGTGAGACAGAAAGAGAGCGAAAGAGCGTGTGTGTGTGTGTGTGTGTGTGTGTGTGGTGTTGGAGGCACTCTGGAGCATGCAGAGTCCATTATGAGTGTGCAGCAGGTTCCAGGCACACTGAAACTTGGGAGCGGGGGGAGCTGGGAATCAATAACCCAGGGGAAAGCTGGGTCTGCTACCATGGCCTGTGCACAGGAGGGACCCTACTGGGAGCAGGCAGGACCTGTCTGAAAGGTTGAAGTCTCAGGCTGAGAAGCAGGGGCTGATTACTCTGGGAGAAGCCTGTCAGATGAGTGGGGCCCAATTGGAAGTGGTTGGGGCCTGTCTGGTTGGTTGGGGCCTTCTTGGCACCTGATCAGGCATGAAGGGACAGTGAGGGCAGGAATGAAGTGGCCAGGGAGGACCAGGAAGGCATCTCTGGGTGGACAGAGGTGCTGGGAGCTATGTTGTCTGGCATAGGCTGTTATTATGCAGGAAGGAAATTTAGCTCCTACCTCTACCTACTGTTGGCCAATCAGCCAGATGTCTCTCACTAGGCCTGACAGCTGGCTTTAGCACGAATCATATCTTTTTGGACGAATCATCTCTCTTCTCGGAAGCTGCTTTCTCATCAGCCCAAATGACAGGATCCAGACAGTTACAGTTTGGTGTGCTTGGGGAAGTCAAAGTCTCTTTCCTGGATGGGCTGGCTGATCACAGCAATTGGCGTGGATCCACAGGCAGTCCCTGAGCCTAGAATGTCTACATGCAGGATCACCTGCCTTGGCCCTGCACCTCACGGTAGTGCCCGAGACTCGGGCACACGTCACACCAGTCCTGCCTCACCTTTCTCAGTGTTTAATCAAGGGAGTCTGAAAGTGAAAATAACTGGCAAGAAAAGTGAAACTGCCTCTCCTCTCTCCCTGGGGGAAGGGACAAGGAGCAAGCAGCAAGCCTAAGTGGCGGAGGAGGCAAAGGTCACTTTGTGCCCCTTGAAACGGAAACCCAGAGGAACCTTTGTGACTTCCTCATTCCCAGTCTCATCAGTTGTTCCTGAATGGCTCTGGTTCCTGGAACACAGCAGGCCCCAAAGGCTATCATTAGAGCCCTGTCAGCCAGGTGACCCTGGTGGCCTGCCCCGCCCATTCTATATGAAGGTCAGCTGAGCTGCTGAAGGCGAAGAGAGTGGCCGCACACAGGAGCCACGGGCAGAATCACATACACGACTGGGCATGCGTGGCCATGCACAGGATCACACACGCCTGTGTACCTGCATCCATCCTCAGGTGTACACAGCTGGGGACACCCTCACCCACAGCTCTCCGACACCTCCCCCAACACACACAGCTTTCCCTAGGTACAAGCCCACACAGACACACATAAACATGCTTCCCCACTGCCAGCCCTGCCTGCATAGCATCTCTCCTGGCACAAACACACAGGTGCCCATGGCCATGGGACATAGGACGCTCTTGCATGTACACTTTTTCCTGTCCACATACATGCCCACTTGCTCAGTTCACAGACACATAGCCAGCTGCGCAGCTTCACTGCTGCCATCAAGCCACAGGGGTGCTTCTGTGACTTGATGTCAGCAGTGAAGCTGCACAGCTGGCTGCGTGTCCTCTGGACAAGAACACCAGCTTCCCCCTCCCCTCCAGTCCTGAAACGGCCTCCACCACCTCTCTGTTGTTCAGCAGAGCAGTGCCCCATAAATGCATTTTGTCCAGTTTGCACTGACCCAAAGGGCACTTGAGATCCAGGCCCTTCAAAGCTCAAACCAACCATCTGCCAGCTGCTTTTCCCATGTGGATTTAAATGCAGAGTGGCTACCTGGGCTCTCTGGTATTGAGAAAGTTTTCATTTCCATGCTAGAGAGGCTCTTCCAAGCTGCAATAAACATAGGCACACTCCAGTTGCTTTGAGTCATGAATGTTTATTGTAAAGGAGAAAGGACAGACAGGTGGGCAGGACACCATCAGTGCAGTTAGGACCTAGGGTTTAAGATCCATTCATAGGCAGCCTTAACAATGATGATAGCAGGCAATTGTTGAGCACTTTCTCTTCCTGGGTGCTAGGCATGGCGCCAGATACTCTGTGTGCTTTATCCTGGATGCTGGCAACAGTCTTACGGAATAGGTTGTCATCATTATCCCAATTTGAGAAGGACGTTGCAGCTTAGAGAGGTTTGTAACTTGCCCAAGTGCCATAGCTAGTAAGTTCAGGGCTAGGGTGCAAAGCTAGCTGTCAGGAACCCATCAATGTACCCCAGGAAAACCGCTCTGCAGAGGAGACCCCTCCATCCTGCTACTGCCCAGATGCTGGCATCCACAGCTCCTGCCCTGAGGGATCTGCCATTCTTATGACACGGCTTCCCTCTGTGTCTCTCTCTGCTTCCCACTCTCCTTCTCTGCTCTCACTGTGCGTGTCCCCAATTCGAAACTCCCTGATAAGACCTTCAAGGTCAGTTGGATTCCAGCCAGTGTGGAACCACTCTGAGGCAAAGGAAAGAAAACACTTGACTAGCTAAACCCACGTGCCTGGGGCTGCTTCACTAGCTAGTGGCTGCCTTCGGGTGGGACAGTCAGCTGCCATCCAGGCAGCAGCTCACGGTCCATATAGGACCCCTGTGGGTGGAACAGACATCTACAGACCACAGAATGTCTGGTGTGCTTTCAAACGCCGTTATTGGAAATCTTTACTGAACATGTTTCTTATGTTCCTGACTTTGTAAGAATTATCTAGTACACATAATTGAACTTTTTAAAATTGGTCCAGATTGTATGACTCCCAGGATATCATTCTGAATTCCAATTGGATCAGGCTACAAAAGTAGGAGGTATGGAGAACTATTTTGTGGTGACAACCAGGAAATTCCCTAAACATCTTTTAAAAATACATTCTTGCTTGGTTATTTGCCCTCGTTTTAATGTAGAGGCAACAATGAGAAGGAAAAGTCCCTGGCAATGGGTTCCAGGGAACTTCGGCTTCATGGTGGAATCTGCAAATGCAGGCAGGTCCCGGCAGATGTGGCTCTCTTCTCCCAGGTGCTTCCAGGCAGGCTGCTGAGAACCATCTGCCCTGAGGGGCTTCCAGGGACTCCTCAAACATGTGGGCTCCAGGCCAGCTCCTTTGTTGCCTCCCTTCCCTGGAGCCGCCTCCACTGATAGAGGACAGAAGATGGATGTCTCTGGTCGCTCCAGCTCCACAACACCCACAAACACAGGCTGCTAATTCACTCTTGGAACTGTCAGGAGAAGCCCATTTTCATTTGATCCTTCACACAAATAGATTAGAGGCCACAGACCTTGACGTCTGAGCATTGTTCAGCTTCTGTTAGAAAACATCCATATTTAGGGCGGTCAGGAGAGGCACGAAGGAGGGAGCAAGGGTCTAAAACACTCACTGAGAAGACTTGACTAGGACTGAAAATTCACACCCAAAGCTAAAGTCTGAACTCTGAGCGCCATCCTACGTCAAAAAGGATTCCCTGTGGACCTGAAACACCCCTAGCCAGCAGCTACTGGGGAGTGAATGCTTTTCCAGGATCATCAGCTCCTTTTGGGCTCATCCCTCCACGCTGACTGAGCTTGGGTGGCTGACCTTTTGTTTTCTTATATGTGGGAGGCAATTGAGAGCAAGGCTGTGGGGCTGGAATTCAAACCCCTCCCCCCATGGCCCCAGGGTGTGTCCATGTGGGGCTGCCAGATACACAGGGAAGGACAGAAGAGCTGGGGAATGTTGACTCTGGATTTTTGGCAGCCTGGGTCCTCCCTTTTTCCTAAATCAGGACCCAGTCAAATAAGGAGTTTGCCTCTGACGATGTGCTGCAGCTTGACAGTAATATGACAATAGACCAAAACCCACAGTTACTCCAGGCAAACCTAGATTTTTAAGGGGAGTGTATGTGGGTGGCCTTATTTTACTGAGAAAAACCTTGTTTTGTTTATATTTTTCCCCTTGCTTTGCAGAAGAAATAAGATCCCTTTTAACAAGGTTGCAGGTGATTTCTACTTCTCACTTGACTTGGAAACTCTTCCAAGAGCGTTGATCTTCCCAGCGTTGACATGTTGGTCTTGTTCTCCTGAACTTTAGCCTATATTGTTGACCAAAGCTGTTTCAAGGGCTCCCTGCGTGAAAGGAAGCTGGGGTTGGGCAATTCTTGGGGAGGCAAGAGGACACCACCCCATCTCATGACTAAATCAAAACTCAGCTCAGGACAGGAGGATCTAGGGCTGAGTGGCTGCAGCAGGGAGATGATCCCTGAGTGGAGAAGCGAGTCTGGCCCTGGCCAGCAGCCTCCTGGAGCCGTATGCCCTCACACGAGTGATCTGAGCATCTGTGGCTCATAGGTGATCACTTGACACAAGTAGATCTCCCAACCCAAGGAAGCCAGCGTGTCCATACAGGACATCCAGAGTGTGAGGAAGGACAAGGGAGTTTGGGCCCCGGGCCCTGGGTGCCTGCCCAGCCATATTCAGATAATTCAGCCTTCTTCTCTCTTCTGCCAATGGAAAAAAGGAGAGAAGAGGCTAAACTTTCTCTCTCAATCAATGTGACTGAGGCCCTTCCAGAAACCTCCTGCTTGTGCAACATAGTGTGTTCCTGAGGGTCTCTGTTTAGGGACAGCCTAAGGTGCTATGGGGAATCGTCTGAGCTAACCGATCTTTCAGGCTGAGAGACCTAGCTAGAAATCTCCAGGACCAGGGAGGCAGGGGCTGGACAGCAGGGACTCGATGTTGGAGGCAAACGTATGTGCAGAGGGGTCTGAGTGGGAGAGAGTGAGCAGCGTGGTTCTCTGGGCGTGCTGACGTCTGCTGCGTTCTGTCCAGGCATACTGTCTTAGTTTCCCAGGGCTGCCATAACGAAGTACCTCCAACTGCATGGCTTCAAGAAGAAATTTCCATCTCACAGTTCTGGAGGTTGCAAGTCCAAGATCGGGGTGTTGGCAGGATCCGTTTATTTTGAGCCCTCCCTCTTTGACTGGTTGATGATCACTTTCTTCCTGTGTCTTCATGTTATCTTCCTTTTGAATGTGTCTGTGTCCAAAATTCCTCTTCTTATAAGGACACCAGCCATTTTGGATTAGAGCCCACTCTAATGACCTCATTTTAACTTAATTACCTCTGTAAAGATCCTGTCTTCAAATATGGTCACATTCTAAGGTGTACTGCAGGTTAGGACTTCAATGTATGCATTTCAGGGGAACACAACTCAGCCTGTAACGTCTACCTAGAGCAGAAAGCATCTTATCCCAAATGAGCAGCTTTGCAGCCCTGCTGCCAACCGAAGCCATTTCACCTATAAAGGCACAGCCCTATATTGCTCACGAGGCATTTGCACTTGTGATTTCTCCTTCAATCTCTCTGACCCTTCTGAAGTCAGCAGAGAAGACATTCTTGTCCCATTTCACAGATGAGAAGAAAGAGTTCCTGAGAGATCAAGTATGTGGCCTTGAGCCCTACTGCCAGGAAGTGAAAGAGCTGAGCTGAGATGTGGGTCTCAGTCTGTTATCTCTTGCTATAACAGAGTACCAGGCTGGGTAATTCATAAAGAAAAGAAATTTATTTCTTACAGTTCTGGAGGCTGGGAAGTCTAAGAGCATGATGCCAGCATCTGGTGGGGGGCATTCCATGGCAGAAGGGCAGAAGGTGGAAGTGGGCATGTGAGACAGAGAAAGGAAATTGACTGACTTCATCCTTTTTATCAGGAACCCATAACTGTAATAATCCGCATTAATCCATTCACCC